ACACACACACACACACACACACACACACACACACACACACACACACAGGTATGCACACGAATGCTCACACACAAATACACACACAGCACAGACACACACAGAGATCACTTGATTGAGACTCAGCATTTACTCACATGAACAAGTCCTTTTTTTAATGCGTCAAAATAATGACAAATTTCTTCATATCCACTAACTGTGGAAAAAGGTATGCTCAATCAGTTTCCCTGACTTTGCCTGTTAAAAAACACCGGCTCCCTCAGTTTATCTATTGTGGTTTTAAATACAAGTTACGCAACAGCCAAAGATAACTCCCAGCGTCTATACTACCACATAGCTTTTTTTTTCTTTTCTGTTTCTATTTTTGTCTTTTCCCGGGAGCAAAGGAAGGTTGCAGACGGCCAAATTCTGAACCGACTAAAAAAAATCAAACGCCAACCAAACTTTATCCCCTTATCAAATAAAGTCAACCCCCTTATCAGCGTCTTACAGAGATTCTCAGATGTTATCTCCTCGGGCCAGATTAGAGGCTAAGGCTCTCAGCGCGGGGCAGGAGTGAGCCAGTCACTCTTCTGTCAGCAGCGCTTGCTCCAGCGAGCCAGATAAATCAATTAATAGGATGCAGAGCTGCCGTTTTGCCTTTCTCCTCTCACGCTTACCTCCCCCAGGCTCCCCGGACCCCTCAGTCCCCTGGCTAATACCATCTGAGAGTCCTTATTGACAAGAGGGTTGTGCAGGTGCAGGCATTCAGGCGGCCCGCAGCACGGAGGGCAGTGGCCACCTCTCCCCTCTTTGTGAGACACTTTTCTTCTCTCTGCTTTTCAGACCAAAGGCCCCCTCGCCGGCTAATCTAATCGGATTATGCTAATTTGTACTTCACAAACCTAAACGGCAGAACCCGCCTCTGCGGAGGGTTAAGGCTGAGAAGAGAGGAGGACAATGACTTCAGCAGTAAACCTACCCCTGAGAGAGCAGGGGGGAATGCGGATCCTGCGTCCAGCCTCGCCGAGCCGCTCCTCTGGGAAGCCCACCGAGCTCTCCACAGTTTAGAGTGGCTGGGACCGGGAAGGCTGCGGTTACAGCAGCCACCAGCGGCACGGGGGGTGGAAAGGCGCTGTTCCTCCTGCCGCACAGTAAGCCTCCTCTCTCCATTTGCTCACAGTTCCCCGCTTGGTTAGTCAGTATCTAACTGATCGATGAGCTGAAGCCACGATGCAATTCCGCAAGCTACCAGTGAAGGGTGATGCTGGCTGCCGCGGGATGGATGAAGCTGTCTGAGATCCTCCAATCGCACTTCAGGATTTCACCTCTGGTTGGGAAAAATAGTTTAGGTGCAGAAACCAGACAGCATCTTCACGGGATGGTACACCTCCTCTCCTGGTTCTGCTCTTGTGGTTCCAACTCCGGTACTCATCTTTCACAGCATTCTAAGAGAGATTTTTCTTTTCTTTTCTTTTTTTTTGGGGGGGGGCGGGGAGCGGGGGAGGGATGTGAGACAGGGTTTCTCTGTGCAACCCTGGCTGTCCTGGAAGTTACTCTGTAGACCAGGGTGGCTTTGAACTCAAAGATCCGCCAGCCTTAAAGGTGTGTGCCGCCACTACCTTGCCTAGGATTATTTTTTAAAAACTTTTATTGGGTTTGTGTGTGTGTGTGTGTGTGTGTGTGTGTGTGTGTGTGTGTTGTGTGTGTGTGTGTGTGTGACTTTCACATCATGCACCCCAATCCCACTCATCTCTCCTTCCCCTTGTACCCATCCCTCACCCTTGCAACCTACTTCCAAACAGAGAAAAAAAAAATCTTGTTCTGGAAGCTGCAGTATGTCACAGTGTGTCCCACAGTATGCCATTTTGTTCATACCTCTTTGCTTACAAATATTCATTGCAATAACTCATTGGTCTGGTAGGAGGTCTCTAGCTTCTGCTACTCTTTCAATACTGGAACTTCACTGGGACTCTCCTCTGATACCCTTTTGTTGTCCTGTTTCATGGAGATCCTGTAGTTTTGGATCTGTAGGACCAGCCCCTTCATGCGTCCAGCAGTTCATGGGTGGGGTAGATGTTGTGATGGGTCAATTCAAAGGTCTGGATCTGGGCCTGAGAGGTATTTGAGCTGGCCAGCCCACTGGCTCTCCTGCTCTCACACCCTCAAGGCTGACTCACCAGGAAACCCCACAACCAGGGCAAGCCCTACGCTCTACCCTACTGCCCAGGCTAGGTGCAGGGCCCGCTCTCTCAGGCGTTGCTGCTGCTGAAGGACATGGCCATTTCTCCCACCTGCCACAGATGGCAAGGGACAAGAGAGGGGAGGAGAGTGTCTCTCCCTTGAATGCAACTGCCCAGCAGGGTTGGCTCACCTGTGCTCATACCCTTGGGGCCAGCTCACCTGCAACTCCCACATTCAGGGCCAGCTCTACTGTGATGCCCAGGAGAGGTGCAGGGCCCAAGCAGGTGAGGGGCAGGGACAGCTCTCCTGCTCTCAAGACCGCAGGGCCAGCTCGTCTGCCTGTCGTAGGTGGCAAGGGGTGAGGGCGGGGAGGGGCATCTTTCTCTTGCCCATGCTGCAACAAGGCAGACAAGGTGTGGGGCCAGCTCTCCCATAGTCACACCCTCAGGGCTGCCCCACCTATACCTCTACCATTAGAGCCAGCTCTACTGTGCTGCTCAGGTGAGGTGCAAGGCCTGCTGTCCCAGGTGCTGCAGCAGGTGAGGGGCAGGGACAGCTCTCCTTCTCCAGTTGGGGCCAGCTGTCCAGCCCACTGCTAGTGTCCAGGGCAAAAGGGAGGGGAGGGGATCTCTCCCTTGCCAACCCCACCACATGGCAGATAGGACTCAGGGCCTGTACCCCTGCACTCAGTCTCTCAAGCTGGCTCACTCCCGCCTCCACATCTGAAGTCAGCTCTACCCTGCTGCCCAGGTAAGGTTCAGGACCCTAGGGGTGGTTTTTTAAAACAACTTACGTTTTTATTAATTTTATGCCTTGCCAAAATATGCAAAGTAAGCATATTAATTTTCGTAATGGACTTTGAGATAAAACTGGTAAGGTAGGGAGTGGTTCAGTGGTGGACCGCATGTGTTTTGGCTTGAATATGAAACATCTTTCATAGGCTCATGTTTGAATGTCTGGCCCCCTAGCTGATGTTGGTTGTTTTGGGAGGTTTTGCAAACGGTAGGAAATAGGGCCTAGCTTAAAGAACTAGGTCACAGGAGTGAGTCATTGGAGGTGAGCTGCCCTGCCCCCCTCTGCTTCTTGTCCGCCCAGAAAGGAATGGTTTCTGCTACATTCTCCTGCAGCTAGGACCAAACACGCATGGTCTGAGAAACCTCAACAAAATAAAGTTGTTCTTCCTTTACATTTTTTTTTTGGTGGGGGGGGGGGCAGGGGAAGGTCAGGTATTTCTGTCACGGTGATAAAAATTTAACTAATACAGCTTGCTTAGCATGTGGGGCCCTGGGGTTAATTTGCAGCATTAAAAAGGAAATTAAATAGGATTGGTATATTAAAGTTCTATTTTCAAGAGTCTCACTGAATGTGAGACTTACGGATGTTAAATGGCTCATCCAAGAAGGCTCATCTACATCTACTGTTCCCACCCCTTTCCCAGCATATTCCTAGCTAGGAGGACCTTAAAAGGCCAAGAGTATTATTCTCTCACATGGGACTTTGAGACAAACTGGTTTCAAACTCAAAATCCTCCTGTCTCAGCCTCTCCCTCGAGTACCGACTAGTATTACTAATCTCAGTTCCTCAAGTATGGACTGGAATTACTGGTGTGGACCACCAATCCCAGCAGTAACAGTCTTTTAAGGAACCTTCATAGATTGCGTAGTTGAGAAAACTACTTGGTGTTCTCAAGTGGAAAGGTGAAATCTGCACTGATGTAGGTAAGTGTTTAGATAGTAAATCCAAGAGACCAATGAAAACGAAGCCATTTTAGACATACTATTCAAAGCTATTTTTTAATCTAATTTTGAGTGCTCTATCTGCATGTACACTTGCATGCCAGAAGAGGGCACCAGATCACATCATAGATGATTGTGAGCCACCATGTGATTGCTGGAAATTGAACTCAGGACCTCTGGAAGAACAGACAGTGCTGGTAACCTCTGAGCCATCTCTCCAGCCCTCAAAGCTATTTTAAACATACTATTCAAAGCTATTTTTAACATACTATTCAAAGCTATTTTTAACATACCATTCTGTGGAGAGGGATGTTAACACAGAGAAAAAGCAGACCTTGTCTGTGTGCTGATTTGACAAAAGACAGTGGTTTTTAAAGCCTGGATCTAGAGGAAGAAGCTCCTCCCCTCTTCTTTCCTTAGGCCAGTGGGATGTGCCCCATTCTCAAATTCCCATTTTCCTTGGTTTAAGACACAAAGCCTTGTCTAAAGAAGAAGGTGGAGTTAGAGATGGCCCCTTTTTCTGTTCATGGGTTCAGTTAAATAGCAGGCTATCTGTAACTTTCTAATTTCCAGAGTTCTGAGACAAGCAGGCACTGTAGTCAAAGAGGGAGGGCCTAGTGTTTCCTGCTTACTAGTAACTCTGATGTACTCTAAGCACACCTCATGTTAAAATGGAGCATAACAACCCAATCCTTAAAACAGCTCAGCTCACTTTTAGTCCTGACCATGCCTGTCTATCCAGAGCCTTCCTCTCTTGGTTGAGATATTAATAAATGCGCTCTGAGCTCATATCTCCCTCTCTTTGAGAGTCTTGTCTCTCTTCCTCCCAGAGTTCCTGCTGCACTGGTTGACTGACACTCAGCACTTTGGCTAATTGGTTTCTAAGTTGGCTGTCCCCTGGGGTGATGAAGCTTCAGCAGTTGGGGACATGGTCCCTGGAGACTGTCTGCCACACACCTGTCCCTGTCATAGCTTGCAGAGCAATGTGTCTTTCTCCGTTTCCTGAGCCTCATTCCCTCTGGGATCTAAGAGACTCTTGCAAGTCACAGTTCATTTACTGAGTGGAAAAGATTAACTCTCCTAAAATGAATGAACAATGGGGGCCTTCTCGGTCATATACTCAGTTCACAGCAGCTTCCTCCCCACAACCCCAAAGCAGACTACAGTGACGTACATGCAACAATAATCAGTTCCCATCAAGAGAAGTAAAAGAAGGCATAAGCTTTTTCTTTCCTTCTTTTTTCTTTTCCTTCCTTCCTTCCTTCCTTCCTTCCTTCCTTCCTTCCTTCCTTCCTTCCTTCCTTCCTCTCTCTCTCTGTCTCTTTCTCTCTCTGTCTGTCTCTCTTTATTTTTGTTTTGAGGGGTTTTGTTTTTGAGACAGGCTTTCTCTGTGTAGCTCTGGCTATCCCAGAACTCACTCTGTAGAACAGGCTAGCCTCAAACTCACAGAGACTTCTGCTTCTGAAGTGCTGGGATTAAATGTATGTGCCACACTGAGCTGCTATGGGCTACATCTGGGCAGGGAGTCTAGGTTATCTTCATGAATGGTCCTTGTTTAGATTATCAGTCTCACAAAAGACCCCTGTGCCCAGATTTTTTGGTTCTGTTGCTCCCTTTGTGGAGCTCCTGTTCCCTCCAGGTCTTTCTATCTCCCCCTTCTTTCATAAGATTCCCTGCACTCTGCCCAAAGTTTGGCTATGAGAGATTTTATGAGCCTAAATAACAACACTTCAAGTACCAGTATTCAACTTAGAATTTTTAAGTGTATTTGTGTATTTTTATTTGTTTGTTTGGGGTGTGTGTGTGTGTGTGTGTGTGTGTGTGTGTGTGTGTGTGTGAGTGTGTGCATACTTGTGGAAGGAAAAGGTAACTTCTTTCAAAAGCCATCCACTTTTTTTTTTTTTTTTAAACAGAGTCTCTTTATAGGACCTGAAGTATACCATTTTGGTTAGATTGTCTGGTCAGCAAGCTCCAGGTATCTTCCTGTCTCTACCTCTCAACACTTATTACCATATCTGATTTTTACATGGGAATGGGGATTGAACCCAGCTCTGAACAGCTTGCCGAGTGAGACCTTTACGACTAATCTGCCTCTCCAGGCTCTGAAGAGTAGTAATTGTTGGTGTTTACTTATGTATTTATTTAGAAGGCATCTAACAATGTAACTTGGCTCGCCTGAAACTTGCTGCATAGACCAGGCTAGCCTTGAACTCACAGAGATCTGCCTGTCGTCTCTGCCTCCAG